TGGAAAGAATCAACACTTTAGACTTACTTCAGAGAAAGAGACCCAATTATTGTCTATTTCCTAATAGATGTGCTCTTTGTAAAGCTGATGGGGAATCTGACTACCACCTCATGGTCTCTTTTAAGGCTGCTAAAACTTTTTGGGAGTGGGTTTTTTCCCGTTTTGGGTGTTTTTGGTATCTTTCAGAGACTGTCCAAGGTTTGTTTTCTCCTTCTTTTATCAGTTGGCCTAGGAAGCAAGGGAAGACTATGTGGAGGTGTATTAGGGCAGTGGTACGCTGGGCTTTGTGGGAAGAAAGAAACTCATGCATTTTTTTCGACATGGAAAGAATATTGAAAGAATTGTTAGATCGAATCCTTTTAAGGGCTGTCCACTGGCTAAAATCTTTGGAGTTGTTTTCAAATTTTCCTATGGATGACTTGCTAAGAAACTGGAAAGAGATTGCTTCCAATGCTAGATACAAGAGGACTCTTTGTCCGTTTTGGTCTCCTCCCCCCTCGGTCTTTATAAAGCTGAATTTTGATAGCACCAGCGTAAGGAATCCAGGGCCCTCTGGGATTGGAGGAGTCTTCAGGAATGAGGAAGGGATTGTTATTGCTTTATTCTCTRGCCCTATTGGAGAAGGTGACTCTCTTAGGGCTGAGATCCTTGCAACGCTTGAAGGAATTCAAAGAGCAAAGGAATTAAATATCAGCCGTTTGATCCTGGAAGGTGATTCGAAGGTGGTGGTTAGTTGGTTGAAGACAGAGGACAGTGGTTTGTGGAACTTTAACAATAAAAAAAAAACAGTTCTTATGGCTGGGTAGGGACATTGAGATTCAGTACAGCTTGGTGAAGAGGAGTGCCAACTCATTTGCGGATGGGTTGGCCAAGTAAGGAGTGAATAGGGAGTCTGTTTTTTGGGCTAGTTTTTAAGCTTTTATCTTTGCACTCCCTTTGTTTTCTGTTTTTGGGGAGCTAAGATATTTTATCTTCCCTCTTGTATCCATATTCCCTCTTTTCTTTTAATTTAATGAAGCTGGTGTTATTGATAAAAAAAAAATCTTTTGAGAAGTTGCAAAGAGATTTTTTATGGAGTGTTAAAGGGAAGGAAAAAACAACATTTGCTGAAATGGGAGTATGTATCAGAGATAAAAAAGTTGGTGGTTTGGGAATTAGAAGGGTGAAGATCTTCAATAAGGCGTTGTTGGGAAAATGGTGGTGGAGATTTGGGTCTAAGAGAGAGTCTCTCTCGAGGAAAGTGATAGCATGTATGGTGTGGTGGATTTTGGGTGGGATACAAGGGAGGTGAAAACATCTTATGGGGTTTGTGTATAGAAAGGCATTATGAACTTTCTTGCAGCAATTTTCAGTTATGTTTCTTTTAAGGATAAATTACAAAATTACCACTCTGTACTTTGGGCGTAGTGAAACTTGCCCCCCAAACTTTCATTCGCGACAAACACCCCCTGAACTTTCAAATTCCAACACCTTTTCCTTGCTCTGTTAATGGGATTGACGGAGGACATAAATTTGTTGTTCATCTTCTTTTACACTTGGAACACTGTAAACCCGGAATAAAGGCAGCTGCAGCTGGAGGAGGGAGGTTCTCTATTCTCTCTTCTCTCTTCCCTTCTTTTCCCTCTTTCCATTTCCCACTTCTAGCAATCACCATTCATCTTCAACCTTTCAAACCCTGTACTAGAGAGTAACAACCACTCCCACCTTCCTCTCCCCCCTCTCTTTGTTAGTAGAAATGATGGCAAGGTAAAATTACTAAATCGCCCATGTTCATACCAACCTCAACTTGATAAAATGTATTGAGTGGTGCACCGCTGCATGTCATAAATAGCAAAAGAGTGGCTCGACAATGAATGTTGCAGGAAGAAAAGATGAAGAGTGATTTGATGAAATCTATTAGGACATCAAGCAAGGATTCAATTGATCAACTAAAGAAGCCTCCCATACGAAGGTATTATTCTAGAAGGCTGCCACGCCAGCAGGAAGCTTAACCAATTGGTGCAAGTTGACATGCTTCCTAGTTGTAATCTTTTGTAATATGTTCCTGTAACATGTAATCTGTTACCAATTGTGAATGATATAAGAAGCAACGGGAAGAGAAGAATAAAATGAATTCCTGTTCTCTCTCTCTCTTTGTTCTTAGGAGGTTTACCACCCTCGAAGCTGGTGACTGTTGGGCAGGTCCCAACAACTTGGTATCAGAGCCACTTGAAGTAAAGCCACCATGCTGAGCACTCGATCAGAGTCGGTAGATGATCAAGTCAATTGTATGGAGATGGAGATCTAGTTATACAAGGTTGCCAGTGACCTGTAATAGATTAAAGTGGCCTTGGTGGCGGTGGTGGTGCAATTGGAGAAGGGGGCATTCAGTAGCAATTGTGGCAGAAACTGGGAAGGGGGAAGTCAGGGCGACAATTGGAGGGGTTGTGGCATGATTAGGTGCTTAGCCGAGTTAGATTTTCCCACCTACTCCAAAGACGATATGATTTCCTTGATCTTTAAAGGCGAAAGGTATTTCGACTTCCATGAATCATCTAGCTAACAAAGTGTACCCATAACCTCTTTCCATTTGGAGGGTAAGGCTATTCTATGGTTTTAGTGGTTCTACAGGAGCAGACCTTAGGTCTCATGGATTGATTTTATAGAGGCCCTTTGTGTGCAGTTTTGGCCTATTGGGTTTGATGACTATGATCAATCTTTGTCCAAATTAAAACAAACTGGGTCTACTAATAGAATTTGAGAGGTTAGCCACCCAAGTCCAAGATTGGTCAGAAAAAGCCCTTCTTGGATGATTCATAGGGGGTCTCAAGGAAGAAATACGGGTGGAGGTCAAGGCTCATAAACCACCAACAGTGTTTAGTTGCAGTTGGTTTGGCCAAACTTCAAGAAAAAAAGTTGAATTGGCTTATGCACCTAGGGCCCTGGGTAGACAATTAGGTTCACCACTCGGCCCACTTTTGAAAACCTCCCAAAGAGTGGAATCTGTGTAGGTTAATCCTCCTACAACAACCCAAACCATTACCCTAGTGCTTAGGCAAACAATTAGACCCACCACTTGGCCCACTTTTATAAACCCCCTACAGGGTGGAACCCCTACAGGTTAAGCCTCCTACAACAACCCAAGCCATTGTCCCATTGGTGGTTGAAGGGCTTGACCTCTACCTGTATTTCTTCCTTGAACCCCCTTTTAAACATCCTAGAAGGGCTTTTTTTTTTTTCCTTTTTTTCCTAGCTAGTCTTGGACTCTAGTGGCTAACTTCTCAAATTCTATTTGATAGTCTCTAACAAGCCAAGTCTTGTTTTAATTTAGACAAAGATTCATCATAATCATCAAACCTAGTAGGCCCAAACCACACGTAGAGGGCCTCTATAAAATCACCCCATGAGACCTAAGGTCGGCTCCTGCGAAACCAGAAGATAGCCTTACCCTCTAGAGAGAGAGAGAGACTCTTTTAGTGCTTTTGTGACAAATTCATTGTAATTGGGGCACTCAATTTGTTTTACTATAGATCAACAAATGCACGAAATTGGTTAATATTAAATAACCTTTTTTTGATAAATAATATTAAATAACCTTATTGGATCACTGGAATTATAAACTGAACAGCTTTTGATAAACTCTTATTTACTTGTTGTGCTGTTATGTTTCATGATTAGCTGTAGTATATGCAAGGTTCAAAATATCGATACAGCCGATATGCCAGTAGGGGCGTATTGTACAGAGGGTTGGTTTAAGGCCCGTCTATCCCCTGAACCATGGTCTGACCCGAAACACCCACTGTAGGGGCGTATCAGGAAGCCCCTAATATGATATTTGAGCATTGAGTATATGGGCTTCATGATAGGAAGCCATGGTCTCCAAATAAAAGACAAATATGGAAGGATTACGTAGCTCAACCTCGTTATATCATTCCATCACTCTACCACCATCCAGTTCATGGTTTTTTGTTTTGTTTTCTCCTGTTTTTCATTTAATCTGGTGGTCAATGTTGTGTTCCCTACATGGTTAAGGTTTCCAATATCTACCATTTGCCTAGTCCAGAGGTATAACTATATGGAATGTGGTATTTTGCTTATATTATTTCATTATTTGATATAAAATATTGTTTAGAGATTTTGGAATTGGTTGTTGACCAGTTATATTTTTAGTTGGGAGTTGAAGGATTGATCTTTGACCAATTAGCTCCTTCTTGTTGGTTATTTTATCTTCATCCATTTATCTTTTATCATGCAGTGCCAGTAAAGGCTGGTTAAATCCACCATTGCGTTTTGATGATGAACCTTGTCGCCACAAGGTTTTAGATCTTGTTGGGGACCTTTCTCTTTTTGCACAGGCTGGTAGTCAAGGGGTTCCCGTTGCACATATAGTTGCTTACAAGGTATCTATCTTTCCTCTTTAATTGTGTTCATAAAAATATTTTTCTATTACTCCTTTTCTGTTCACTCACGAACAGAATTAGCATTCATCAAAATAAAGCAAATGACTAGCCCGTACCAAATATCAGCACAATTCAACTCAACTTAATCCCAAGTTCCCAACTATTTGGGGCTGGATGCATGAACCCTGTCCAACCATTCTGTTCTATCAAGAGTTTCCGCCTTTGTTAAGGCTTGATCACTATCTGATCTTAGTTGAATGGGATTAACTCTTTCCTGGTTCAATGTAGCTTGCACTTCCTCGTCCACTTTTGAAGCAATCTGATCTTAGTTGAATGGGATTAACTCTTTCCTGGTTCAATGTAGCTTGCACTTCCTCGTTCACTTTTGAAGCACTCTGCTCTGTGTTTGGACTGAAGCATGGATTAAAATGTCCATAAATTTCCTAATATTTCTACCCATTTCCATGGGTAGCAACATGAATTTTAATGGAATCAACATATTCCCCAATAAACACTATCAGCACTATGTGGGGTACAACAGTACAAGAGATGGCATTATAACATAATTTGGTGACAATATTGTAGATATGTGGAGTTGCAATATTTACCTAGCTAAATTACATGATTACCACTTTGAGCTATCTCGATATTCATTTCAAACATAAAGTTAAATATCAGTTTTTGTTTGTGTAGTAGATTAGTTGGTTGGCCTAATAGAGCCATTTGCATTTTCTTTGAGTTTAAATTTTGCTTGAACTCGTTCTATCATATAGTTTTGAATCTTAAGATTTACAGGACAATTTCAGAGTGGTATTATTTTGTCTATAACCTTAGTTTCTTAGCTTTGTTTAATGATTTGGAACAAAATGATAATTTAAAAAGGTGGGCCTATGCTTCTTTTGTCATTTCATAGAATATCATTCTATATTTTTGCATATTTTACAATGTCTTCACCACTCTAATTTTCACAATATATCCATATGATATTTCTGACATTTCCGACATGCTTCCTATATTTGGATTTTGGACAACTGACATTTCCACTAACATTGACATTTTAAACATTGGATTGCAGTAGTGTCCAGAGGAAAGGAGCCCCATTCAGATTGGACCACATGTGGTTTGAACTGGAAAGGGGTCTGCTAGTTTCGTGATGAGCAAGAAACAACAAGATGTAAAAAATAAGATAAGGGAGTGTGGGGTGTACCAGGTGAACCTTGAGAGAAAATGGAAAGTAGAATGTCTTGGCACTATAGCTATTGTAGACAAAGAGGAGGAAAGGGGGTTTGTCTCTGTGTATTTAAAATAGAAAAGGGCCCAAGCAAAAAAGAATATGAGAGCTTAGCTTATGGGAAGTCAGGTAGAGGCAGAAGTCAATAATCAGGTGGTTAAAAGAGGGGATAATAACACCTCTTTGTTTCTACAAGGTGGCTAATAAGTATTGTAGGTTCAATTTTATTTGGAAGTTAAAGGTGGATGAACAAACTGTGGACCACCTGGAGCAGTGATTTAAAAGACGTGCGTACAGGCGAGGTACATTTTAGGGTATGCGCCTCGCCTAGGTCCTAGGCGCAGCCCTTTCAAAAGGCGCACGTAGAATTAGGAATGCAATATTTTTAAGGCAATTCAAGTTATAAAATAATTATTTTTTATGTGATAATTAAGAATTTAAGACCCTAATATGGACTTTTTAGAGTACAAAGGCGGCTTGTAGAATCAGAAATGCAATATGTTTTATATCACATTAGCTACTTGAAGTAATATAATTGAGGAAAAAAGAGATTGTGGGTTTTACATGCTTGAAAATGCACATGTTTTATTTTATTTTTAAATTTTCATTGAATATACTTTGCATGTTATGTTTATGTGTTTTAATTTTAAATAATAGGTTTTTTAAAACATTTATTTTAAAATTTAAGTTTATATTTTTATTAATATTATGTTCAATATTTTTTTTGCATTTTTCTTGCATTTTTTTGATTTTTTTTTTAATTTGTGCCTCACTTTGCTCCTCGGGCGCAAATTGCCCCTTTTGCTTTTTTTGCACCTTGAACTTTTAAAACACTAAGCTGGAGGAGGTGGAGAAAGTCATGTGAAGTTTTATGAAAATCTTTTCTATGAAACTTATAAATCAAGGCCCAAATTAGATGGGTTATGTTTTGATTTGCCCCTTAGTCTCAAGCTCTAGATTTAGAGGTGCCATTCTCAGAGGATGAAGTCAAGCAAGTTATCTATGATCTTGAAGGTGATAAGGTACCGGGCCCTAATGGTTTTACCATCTTGTTTTACAAGAAGTTCTGGGATGTCTTAAAACTGGATCTGCTGAAGGTAATTGGGGAGTTTCACAGATCGGCCACCCTTGAAAGAAGCCTCCATGCTACTTTCATTTCTCCGATCCCTAAGAAGGAGCTAAAATTAAAGGACTTCAGGCCCTCTAGTCTAATTGGGAGTGTTTATAAAATCATTGCTAAACTATTAGCTACAAGGTTGAGAAAGGTAGTTGAAGTATAGTTTCTGAGCGACAAGGAGCATTTGTGATGGATAGGCATATTCAAGACAGGGTTCTGGTGGCTAATGAGTTGATTGATTCTAGATTAAGGTGTGGCCCTCCTGGCATCTTTCTGTAAGATTGACCTTGAGAAGGCTTATGATCATGTTAATTGGGAATTTTTGGATCATCTGCTAAGCAGAATGAATTTTGGCCAGGAATGGAGAAATTGGATCAAGGTGTGTATTTCCACTCCTTCATTCTCCATCCTTATTAATGGTCTAGTGTGTGGTAACTATCCTTGTTCTCGAGGTCAAAGGCAAGGGGACCCCTTGTTGCCTCTCCTTTTCCTCTTAGTGATGGAAGGGTAAAGCAGAATGGCTACTAAGGCTGTGCAAGGAGACTTGATCATAGGGTTTGAAGCTGGCAGTTCAAGGTTGAAGATTCCTTCTTTTACAGTTCATTGATGATGCAGAAGATTCCTTGAAGCTGGCAATTCAGGGCTGAAGATTCCTTCTTTTACAGTTCATTAATGATGCCCTTTTCTTTTGTGATGTGTTTGATACTCAAGACAAGAATTTAAAACTTCTTTTTTTGGTTTGAGGTGGTCTTTGGAGTAAAAGTCAATCTCTTTAAGAGAGATGATTCCAAATGGAAAGGTAAACAATTTACCGGCCCTTGCAGATGAACTTGGTTGTAAAGTTGGGTCTTTCCCTTCTAAATACTCGTGCTTGCCTCTTGGAGTAAGGTGTACCTCTAAAGCAGTTTGGGACCTTATGGTGGAAAGCATTCTGATGGGGGCAACATAACTTTAATAGAAAGCATTCTGATGGGGACCAACTTAAGGCATATCAAAAGAGAACTAAAGCTGCTCCTATGCTCATTTGGCATCATTATGAGGACGTGGGGCCCACATGAGAGCAGTGATTTAAAAGGCGTGCCCAGGCGCACAGGTGAGGCGCATTTTGGGGTATGCGCCTCGCCCAGGTCCTAGGCACGTGCCTGGTGCGCCTAGGCGTGCACCCGATGCGCCTTGCGCCTCAACCCAGGCGTGTACCTTTTTAATATTTTGCGCTTTTTGCTTTTTTTTTGAGTTTAACGGCTGGGCTGGAGGCTCTGCCCCCGGACCCCCGACCACGCCCCTCGAGGGGTGTGCTACAAAAGTGACTCATAGAATCAAGAATCCAATATGTTTTACATCACATTAACCACTTGAAGCAATGCAATTAAGGAAAAAAAGATATTGTGGGTTTTACATGCTTGAAAATGCTTTATATGTTTGCTTTTATTTTTAAATTTTCATTTATACACTTTACATTTTATGTTTATGTATTTTAATTTTAGATAATAGGTTTTTTAAATCATTTATTTTAAAATTTAAGTTTATATTTTTATTAACATTATGTTTAATATTTTTTGCATTTTTTTGGAATTTTCTGACAATTTTTTTTATTTTTTAGCTTTTTTTTGTAATTTTGCGCCTTTCTTAAAAAGGCGCGCGCCTCGCCTTGCGCCTCAGGCGCAAATTGGCCCTTGTGCTTTTAAAACACTGCATGAGAGCTAGGTTAGGAGTGGATCAACTTGGGAAGACCCTAGAGTCTTCAATCCACCTTAAGATACTCTTTGTGTGGTTAAGCTTGCTTCTGGACAGGACTTATGTTTGGCTTTATTTTTGTAATTGTTTGGGTTAGGTTTAGTCTAATCTAGCTTCTTTTTGTAAGTGGCTTGTTGGGCAAGCTAACTTGGGGGGCAAGTTTTTTCCTTTGGAAGCTTCTTCTTATCAAGTTTGTATGGCTCATTTGGAGAACGTTTTTTTGCTAATGAAGAAGAAAATCTCTACAGAATTTGGTGTGATTGCTAAGTTGGAGGGTGTGATTGCTTAGGGTTTTCATCTTATTTCCATCTCTTCTCTTCTCTTTGTTCTCTATTAGTTCTTTGTTTATTCTACACACTTAGACCTAAGTTGGCAAGAATAGTGCTGAATCACAAAGATCCTGCATCACATTCTTTCATGTTTTCCTACTTCTTACATGTGGGAAGGCTGGAAGAACACTAAGACAATGTTTTAAACAGCACTGGGTAGGCATAGGCGAGGCACTAAGAAAACACTTGGAGGCACAGTCTAGAAGCGTACAAGCCTTGAGGCGTATGAGGTGTACGCCTCTATAATGCTTTATACAAGAGGCATACGCCTCTTGTGCTTTTTATAAGAAAATGCTATTTCATGTTCTTCATTATATACTAACATAATCCAAAGGATGAAAAGCCTCCAATTTTGGAAGGATCAAGCCCCACCCAAAGTATGCTATGTCATTCTCAGCCATTCAGTAGGGATGACATTGTCCACTGTCCTAGCGGCTGTGCCTTTTCTGTCACACAATCATCTGTGCACCAAATGTCATTCCAAAAGAAAGTTCTATCACCCCTTCCAGGTTTCAATTTCACACTGCCCAAAAATCCATGCTTGTGTTTCAGGATCCCTTTCCAGATACTGCACCCATAAGATGCAAGATTATCACAGATTTCCCACTCATTGTTGGACAGACCATACATCGCTGCAACCACCTTCCACCACAAACAATTAACTTCCTTCCCAAACCGCCAAAACCTTTTTGCAAATGAGAATGATGCAGGAGAATGAGTTTTTCTAAACCAGGGGAGAATGATGCAAGAGACAAAGAGCTAAGTATGAAATTTTCTGAATCCATATGAATATACGATATATATAACTGGAAGATTTTTGTGGTAGTGCTCTCCATCTCTCACAACCCCTTCAAATTTCTCTTTAATTCTATAGCTAGGCACCCTGTTGAATGAGTTCATTAAAACCCAGAATTTCCTATGTCAGCAATTTTTGTCCTTTCATGCCAAAACCATCTCCAATTACTCGCATAGTTGGACGTGCCATGCCCATTATGGATCCTTTCATGCCTCCAAAACTCATCCCAAAGTTCTACCTAGAACCCTGGATTTCATGATTTTATTTCTGCTAACCCCAGAATTTTTGTCATTTCTGAAAGATGTAATCCAAGCTGTACCAAACTTGGCTTATCAATACATCTATTTACAAATTTTCATTAAGAAATCCCAATTCCAAACTTAATTTCTGATTCTTTTTACATTCTTGGTGCAAATACACAATTGTTGTAGTTAAAATGTGAGACCCTAACCTAGCCAATCCCTATCTTTATTCCTAAAATGACCCCTAAACCCCCTATTAACTCTTGTAAACTCATCCTTGGTTCATACTGATCCTGCATCAGGTTTGATATTAGAGCAGGTTGTCCTAGATGATTTGGTATTGAGGCAGAGGTTTCATAAAAAATTTCTCCCTGAAATAGTCATTCAAAGAAAAGATGGTTATCTGGTTGCGGTTGGCCCTGAAATTTAATCTTCTTGATGTCAGAACAAAGAGAAAAAGTAAAAAAAAAATCATGTTAAACAGCAATTAATGCCTTGTAATATTATTAAGTCTCTGCATCCCTTATTTGTATTTTTTTTAACAATGCTCCTATTCGGATGGTTATCAAATCTGATATGGCTTCAAGCAGATTAAATGCCTGGAAATGTTTTTTTCCCCTCTCTGCCTCCCAATGTTACTTATTTCCTTCCCTGGTTTTCTTGGAGCTGTCACCACTTCCCTTTCACTGAATCTTAGTTTCTTGTAAAGTATCATGGATGCTCCTTTTGATTTTCTTTCTGAATGCTGAGAGATCTGCTAGACACTGCCTGTACTTCATAATTTCTAGTACTGGTTTTGATTTTTTTTTTTGTCATTCAAGAAGCCATTTGCAGCTCTGGTAATCTTGTGAAATTTTGGGATCATGTTTGGGTGAGAGACATTCCGCTAAAGGAGCTCTTCCCGTCTTTGTTTTCTCTATCACGTTTTAAAAATGAGCCAGTCTCCACTTTCTTGACCTCTTCTAGTTCATCCATTGATTGGAATTTGAGTTTTAGAAGGGCCCTTGGAGACCTGGAATTGAACCTCATTGCTGACCTGCTAAAAATCCTTGAGGGGGTGACTATTGATCCACTCAGGAGGGATAGTAGGATTTGGACTCCTCCTTCGGGTGTCTTCTCATGTTCATCATTCTTCAAAGTATTGGTTCATTCCCCACCTGGCTTTGGAATCCCTTTTCCAGTTCTGGAAGTCTAGGGAAGACCAATTCCTCCCAGAGTTCGTGCATTTTGTTGGGAAGTCCTCCTTGAAAAATGTAACACTTGCGACTTACTTCAAAGAAAAGGCCTAATTGGTGTTTATTCCCACACTGGTGCATTCTTTGTAAGAAGAATGGTGAGAATTGTTATCACTTACTGGTTTCTTGTCCATTTGTTTTAGAAATCTGGTGTTGGTTTTTCTACCTTTTTGGATGCAGGTGGACCCCTCCCTCAAATGTACAAAGCCTATTCCATTTTACTACTGTTAGGGGGCTGAAGAAGAGAGGGAAAATTCTATGGAGATGTGTAAGAGCAGCTGTATGTTGGACAGTTTGGGAGGAAAGGAACCAACGGACCTTTCATGGGAAAGAAAGAAATAAAGGTGTAATTACTGAATTAATTTCCATAAGGG